AAGAGAAAGTAGAGAGATAGAATGTCTTTCTTTGAGAGAGTAGGAGATATGATCGAGAGAGAAGAGAGTAAAAAAGGGTTGAATGGACGGCACGATTCTTAGAGAGACGCGTGAAATGCAACTAAAAAATTGCCTTCTGCAAGCCCACTGTCAGTTCGGTCATAAATGTATGTACATGGTAATCAAGTACTTAGAGATTTTTAGGACATAAATTACGACGAACAATTTGGAATTTTTTTTAAATTAGACAAATTTAGAGCAGATAGACGAGAATCACAAAAATACCAATTTTGTCACGAAGGAAACAGAATCATTCTTCAAGCAATGGTTTTGTAAAAATATCTACTAACTGATTTTTAGTATTGACAAATTCTAACACAATATCACTTTTAGCAACATGATCACGAATAAAATGATGCTTAATATCAATATGCCTAGACCTAGAATGATGCACAAAATTTTTTGAAAGGTAAATAGCACTAATGTTATCACACATAATAGGAACACAGTTAAGACGTAAATCATAGTCTAACAGTTGAGGCATAATTCATAGAACCTGTATGCAGCAGTTGCCTACAACCAAATATTACGCTTAAGTAGTAGATAGGGCAACATAGCTTGGTTTTTTGTTGTGCCAGGATATAAGAGATTTTTCAAGTAATTGGCACATTCCACTTGTGCTTTTCCTGTCAATTTTATCTCCTACAAAGTTTGCATCTAAAAAACCTTTGAGATCAAAGACCTTTAAGCCATTCGTACCATAATCCATAGTCGACTGTCCCTATCATATATTTGATAATACGTTTAACATTAGTCAAGTGAGATTCTTTGGGAGCTGACTGATATCTTGCATATTTGTAAGCACTAAACATAATATCAGGTCGACTAGCCGTAAGATAGAGTAGAGAATAAATCATACCTTGATATATTATTTCATCAATACTTTTACCATCTTTATCTTCATCCAAGGTGGTTGACGGACTCATAGGACTCCCTATGGATTTAGCATTAGACATGCCAAACTTTTTGATGAGCTCTTTTTATTTTGTATTTTGTTTGACTAATGAAAATCCATTTCTGTACTTGCTTGATTTGAAGCCCAAGGAAGAATATTAATTCTCCTATCATACTCTGTTAGTTTGTATGGGTCCACCAAATAATAGAGTACCTGGTCATCTACAAGATTCTGCTGAGAGTACTTAATAAAGTAGTAAGTAAATGAGGCAGAGGATTTTTTTACGTGGAAAAATCCTACACAATGGGATAAAAAAACCACGACCTACACCTGTAGGCTTTTAACTTCACTAACTTGTAATCTTACCTATTACAAGCCATTTTACAATAATTCCTATTGCAAAGGATTTACTCAACTAACTAATGATACCTTTACCACAAGCCACTTTGTGACTATCCTAGTTAAAAAGATTTTTTCTAACTTGTGATGCAATCACCGCAAGCCACTTTATAATTTTACGATTACAAAGACGTTTCCTTATGACTAAATCTAGTCACAACATAAACTCAACGAGTTTACGGATTTACAAGAGGATTCCTAATCAGAATGCGTCTAGGTAAGCGATTTAGGAGATACAGTAAGTACAATAACAAAGTTACAACTCAACTAGGACAGTGACAATCTATCTTTTAGGAATTGGTCTGTAGTGGCGTTCAACCTTGTTCTTCAAGCTTGTGAGGATGATTTCTCTATTTTTTGCAAGAGGCTTGAATGAGAACAGAACACTTCCAGTGATGTCTTTTGAATAAAGCTCATTGGATACATCTTGATCACATCACTTGAAATGATGTGAGTACTTTGTTTGGTTAGAGAATGAGTGAGCTGATAGTGTAATACAGTGCGGCAGAAATAGTGCCATCAGTCACTTCACTTCCAGCTGTGTCCAAATGACTTTGTACTGCTATGAGGAAACCACAAGAGCATCAAGTCCTTGTTTTGGTTCCTAGCTCCTGAAGCTGTAGCAGTTCACCTTTAGCTGGAATCCACTTAAAGTGATGCAACAATCCAAGTAGATCAGGTTCCCTATCTGGTTCTTAATAGTAAGTTTGTTAGATCATCAAAACATAAGGCAAGAGTATTTAAGATCTATCAATTTCCCCCTTTTTGATGATGAAAAGCTTAAACAATCATGAGTAGGAATTGGGGCAGTAAAACTAGTTTCAAAGAGTTCCTCCTGAGACTATGCCTTATATTATTTTCTTTTCAAAGAGTGATAGAGCATAAGAACCAGTTCTTCAATGTGTTTCCCCCTTAGTCCTATATTATTTTCCCCCCTTTTGGCATCATAAAAAGAACAACAACACAAAGAAGTCCAGCGAAGCTAACTCATGCCACATATGTGCACACAATCATGAGAAAGAATAGAACACATAGAGAAGGTACTAGACATAATAAAAGAGGATTCATATTAATAAAGATTTAATATGCCTCTGCCTTTTGGAAAAGAAAGAGGCAACATTGGATTTGTTCACAGGAGCAGTAGTAGTACATCCCGACTATAAAAAACACAAAAAAACATCCACCAGCCATCAACAAAGAAACAAAAAAGAGCATATCCAAAAAACTAGTCACTGAAGGGGTTGTTAGGGGGCACTAGGAGAAAAAGGCTTGGAAGCTGCAGCAAGTGTCTGGAGAACAAGGTCTATTCGGGCGTTTCCCGACTTTTGCTCGTTGAGTAGTTTAGCCTTCAGGTTCTCAACTTGTGCCCTAAGATCAGCATTTTCTTGGGTTAAACAAACTACCTCATCATTCTACATGGGAATCGCTCGGGCTTGCTGACCTTCCAGGATAGCATTCCTGGCCTTCAACCGACGAATTTCCTCAGCTGCACTGTTCTGGGTATTGATGAGCTGAGACACAGTTGATGTACTTCCTACCCCCATACTTCTCAATACACTCACACTCTTCCAAGGTTGTCTGTGAGAATGTCTACTTTCGGGTCCCCACTTTACCTATTCCTAATGGAACCTTAAAGAACTGGAACACTGGAGTAAGCAAGAATCCATAGGGAAGCCCATGATTACCGTCCTTGAAATTGGAAACCTTCTACATGTGTTCAATCATTATGGCAGGCAGAATCACAGGGTTAAAACCGTCCAGTTGCTCCATTAGGAATAGGTCAAATTTTGAAGTCACGGACCTCCTTTCTGCTCGAGGCAACATTACTTTGTTAACCAACTCAAACAGCAGCTGGTAGACAGGAAGTAGTGCTTTCTTATGGATCTGGTCCCCTTTTTGATTAGCATTGTCTTTCACCACTGTATTTCGGAAGTTATATTGACAAATATCTCAGACACTCAACACCCCAATTGTAGGAACTTTCAAGATCTCTCCAAGAAATTTCACATCAAAGACGATATTTACCCCATTGACCAAAGCATAGACATGGTCAGTATCAACTAGAAAGAGACTGGCGAAGAAACTCTGTACCTCCTCCTCATACACTTTAGGTGCATCAATGTAAAATAAATGCACCCATTGTTGAAACTCCACCATTTTCAGAATTTGGCGCATTCCAGCCATCTCACAGATTGTTGGGTCAAACGTACGACCCAACAAAACTTTTTTGATGCCTCAGGCGCTCAGAGCCAAGGCGGACTTCACTTTTCATCTTCTTCCCAGAACTAGGTTCTTCAGCAGTTTCAGACTTCGTTTCTTAAGCTTTTCTTCACTGACTTTGCCTTTTCCCTTGGACTTGACTAGTACATCCTTATCACTCACTACCTCCTTCATCTTGGACTTAGATGTTGACCTTTTCTCCATTAAAATAGGCTAAGCCTTTTTCGAGGACCGCCTAACAAGGGAACCAGGTTCCTCATGGGTTCCTTCTTCCACCTCGACTACAGGGATAACCTCATCACTTACAGGTACACCATCCTTCACCAACTTTCTTCTTTTCTTCTTACTACTTTTCTTGCTCTTTTGTAGTGCATAGTCATAGGTCACTTTGACTTGAAGCCTGGTAGTAGGTCGATTGATTTCAGACTCAGGGGCGGAGACAACCCTTCGCTTACTTATGAATGCATCAAGGGCCAGTTATCCAAGTCTTCTTCATCACTAGATCACATTTCAGGTGCTTAAATTTCCAGGGGCACAACATCGAATGCAAGAACATCACTATCCTAGGGATGAGAGTCCTGACCTGGGTCCTCTAGAGAGGGATCAGGTTCCTCATATGATGCCCCAGTAGTGTATGCTACTGCATCCCCTTCAACAGCCATAATGGCCCCTTCTTCCCCCACACTTTGAAACTCATTTTTCTGGGAGGTGATTTCATATAATATCCCATCAGAGGATACTACAAACACAGTTACGAGATCCTTATCTTCTTCAACCAGTGCTTCCACAACCATGGAATCAGCGGCAACGATGGCAGAACCTTCTGTGAACTCAGTACTTTGACCTTGTTCTCCACTTAGGGATTGACTGGTGGGAACAACAGATGACGGGGAGAACGGAACATCAGTTTCAAGGGTTTCTGAGTTGGGTAGAGATTTGGAGACTGGAAAAGGTGTGACTATAGCAGTATGAGTAATAGAGGGTGGTGAAGGCTCAGTGAAAATGAGAGGTTCTATAGATGGGTCAGAGGTAGTTACAGCTGAGGCAGAGAGATCGGAAGTTTTCTCAGCCATTAGAAGAAGAAGTGTGATGATCCTTCCCTTTTGGGTGAGTCTAGAGCAGGGCTTATGGTTAGGAAGAGAAGAAGAAAGTTTTTTTTAAATGAGAGGATAATTATGGAGGGAGAGGAATAGGCACCGGTTTTGAAACGGAAATTGGGCATAGAGAATTGCGATGTTTCAGAGGGAGATGTAATGACTTGAATTGAAGGGATGTGACAGCAGGATCTGAAAAGTTGATGATATGGCAGTTGTATTTTGTACCTTTTTTTAAGATGTGTATTAAAAAGGATGCACAGAACTACTAACCTTTAGTACAAGAACCTGGTTCTTAATTTTTTTTAAAAGAAGCAATCCTCTTTTATCAGTCATGCACTGAATATATCCTTTCTATGCTCATCATGCGTGTTTACCTGCAACGGTATTGAAGTGAGTTAGATAGGTCCAGAAAACACTTTGAGCTAGTTATTTCTTAAGGATACGAGCCGACCAAAGAGGAATCAGGTTCTTAATTTGGCCTCAACAGTCCTAACTTTACTCTATTTCTTTCAAACTGTTCCCTACTTAGTACTTGGTGAAAATGTCTGCAATTTGATCTTCTGTAATGTAGAACTTCATACATATTAACCCTTTCTCCACATTATCTCTCAGAAAATGATGCCTCACATCAATATGTTTTGTCCTTTTATGTTGAACTGGATTCTTGGCCATATTGAGTGCACTAGTGTTGTCACATAGAAGGGGAACACTCTCAGTGGGTACCCCAAAATCCTCCTGTTGCTGCTTGATCCACAGAAGCTGAGCACAACAGGATGCTGCAGCTTCATATTCAGCTTCAGTTGTTGAAAGAACCACTGAATTTTGCTTCCTTGTACCCCAAGAGATAAGACATGATCCTAAGAAGTGAGCCATTTCAGAAGTGCTTTTTCTGTCCATAAGATAACCTGCAGAGTCTGCATCAACATACCCAATCAGATTAAAACTGTCACCTGATGGATAATATAGCACCAGGTCCTGCGTTCCTTTGAGATATCTCAGTATTCTTTTGGTAGTCTTCAAGTGAGATTCCTTTGGATTTAATTGAAACCTCGCACACAGCCTCACGCTGAAAACAATATCAGGTCGACTGGAAGTGAGATAGAGGAGAGACCTAATGATGCCTCTATACATTGTTTGATTCATATGAGATCCAGATTCATCAATGTCCAGTCGAGTGGCAGTCGCAATGGGAGGGTCTATCACCTTTGATACTTCCATGTCAAACCACTTCAAGAGTTCCCTGATATATTTTTGCTGACAAATGGAAGTACCCTTTGGGGACTGTTTTACTTGAAGACCTAGGAAGAAGTTTAATTCCCCCATCATGCTCATTTCAAATTCGCTTCCCATAGGTTTTGCAAATTCTTCACACAGAGAGTCAGCCGTTGCTCCAAAAATGATATCATCAACATAAACCTAAACAATGAGCAGGTTCCTTCCTCGTTTCTTTAAGAAAAGAGTGTTGTCAATTTTCCCTCTCTTAAAACCATTTTCTAAGAGGAATTTTGACAATCTTTCAAGCTCGAGGAGCCTGCTTTAGACCGTACAGAGCTTTGTCCAATTTGAACACATATTCAGGGTGCTCATGGCATTCAAACCCTGGGGGTTGCTTCACATAGACTTCTTCCTTAAGGAGTCCATTCAAAAATGCACTTTTAACATCCATTTGGAACAAGGTGAATTCCATATGAGAAGCAAAGGCAATTAGAATTTTGATAGCTACCATGTGAGCCACTGGAGAAAATGTTTCATCATAGTCAATCCCTTCCTCCTGATTGTAGCCTTGGACCACTAGCCTGGCCTTGTTCCTTATGGTAATTCCATGTTCATCGAGCTTGTTTTTGAATACCCATCTGGTTCCTATAATGGTTCTATCTGGGGGTCTGGTTACTAGGTGCCACACACTATTTCTCTCAAACTAATGCAACTCCTCTTGCATGGCTGTAATCCAATCTGCATCTTTCAAGGCTTCCTTGATGTTTTTGGGTTCTATCTAGGAGAGAAAGGCTGAGAAGGCAAGTGAATTTCTGGCTCTTGACCTGGTTTGAACTCCGGAATCTAGAGGAGTGATTATGTTGTCTATAGGGTGAGAGCTTTGATGTCTCCAGTTAGATGTCTGAGGTTCATTCTGAGAGGAGGAAAGTATGCTTGGCTGATTTTCCTCTGTCCTTCTCTCAGGTGCCAGTGGAGTTCCATGAACTGCATCAACCACTCTTTCTTCAGCTTCAGTGGTTGTAATTGAAGTGCTTGGTTCTATTGATGATGAGGCAGCATTGTTTTCATTTGGATCCTTCACTTGACTCATCATATCTGCTTTTCTGTTTGTCATGTTAATGACTTCACCGGAACAAGTAAGGGTTCTCCATCTTGATCTTTCTCAGCACTCTTCTCAAATGATGGATGAGATTCATCAAAAATAATATGGACACTTTTCTCAACACATTGAGTCCGCTTGTTATATATCTTGTAGGCCTTGCTTTGAGAGGAGTAACCAAGAAATATTCCTTCGTCACTTTTGGCATCGAACTTACAAGCTGATCCTTTCCATTGTTGAGAACATAACATTTACATCCAAATGTTCTTAGATGAGTCATCTTGGGTTTTCTTCCATTCAACAATTCATACGGGGTCTTGTTCAGAAGTGATCTGGTCATGCACCTGTTCACTAAGTAGCAGGCAGTGTTGACAGCTTCAACCCAGAAGTTCTTTGCAAGTCCACTGTCAATCAGTATTGTTCTTGCCATTTCTTCCAGAGTTCTGAACTTCCTTTCTACTAATCCGTTTTGCTGGGGAGTTCTGGGAGCTGAGAAGTTGTGAGTGATGCCATTTTCATTGCAGAATTCATCAAATTTGACATTGTCAAATTCTGTCCCATGATCTGATCTAATGCATAAAACTCTAGACTCCATCTTCACCTGGATTTTCTTCACAAAGGCCACAAATACTTCAACAATTTCAGCTTTTGTTCTGAGAAATAGAGTCCATGTGAATCTGGAGTAGTCATCCACGATTACGAAAATGTATCTCTTTCCTCCTCTGCTTTGCACCCTCATAGGTCCACACAGATCCATATGCAGGAGCTCAAGCAGTTTTGAGGCGCTCACATCTCTTTTTGACTTAAAGGAGGACTTTACATGTTTTCCTCTAGCACATGCATCACAGACTTTTTGAATCTTGAATTGTGACATAGGCATACCATGGACCAGGTCCTTCTGAATTAGTTTGTTCAGAAGGAAAAAGCTTGCATGGACTAGTCTTCTATGCCATAGTTTAGCATCATCGCCAACCGCCTTCAGACAACTCAGATCACCACTCTATAAAGATTCAAAATCAGCAACATAGATGTTCTTATATCTTTTGGCCACCAGAACTATTACACTGGTCACAAGGTCAGTGACTGTACATATTTTGGACAAGAATTCCATCTTGTTTCCTTTATCACAAATTTGAGAGACACTCAGGAGGCTGTACTTAAGTCCATTGACATAGTACACATTTTCAATAGAATGAGTGAGTGACTTCTCAACTTTTCCAACTCCAAGAATGTACCCCTTTTTACCGTTGCCAAAGGATACACTCCCTCCTTGCAGGGCTTTTAGTGAAAGAAAGTCTGTGTTGTTACCAGTAATGTGTTTCGAACATCCATTATCCATGAACCATTGTTGTCTGTTTCCTTTCACTATCCCTTGCACAAGAGCTTAGGAGTTAGTTTTAGGAACACAAATAAGTTTGGGTCCCTTGTAGTAAGCAAGAGGATGAATAAGGGCTCTATTAGTCCATGTAGGTAATGTGCATTTTTTGTGAGTGGAACCTGGTCCCTCTTTTGTGGTCACGGTTTCAGCAGCCATTTTGTCTTTCTGAACTGATTGATTCTTGGCCTGGACACCTTCCTTGAAGCACCCAATGTTCCCACATTGGGTACAAGGCCAGTTATAGATACAGTGACGCTCTTACTGTGAGGGTTGTGAGGAGTTTTCTCCCTTTGGAACCCTGCTCCCTGCCCTTTTTCACTATCATTAGTGAGCAAGGCAGTGGTAGCTTCTGAGGACCAGGTCCACTTTGAGACCTTTCAAGATTATTCATTACTTTTTCTAGATTGGCTTAGAGGAGCTCGTTTTTCTCAATTTCAGCACACATCCTACATCTCAAAGATTTCACCTCATCTTTAAGCCTAAGGTATTCCTCACTAACTATCTCCTTTCCTCTTTCAGAGCTTTTAGGTTTTGACTTAGTCCATGGCTTTACTATTGTTTCCCTTTGGTCTACAATTTCTGCCAACAGATCACTCTTTTCTTTTCTAAGAATTTCAATGGTTTTCTTTTGATCGTAACTGCAGCCACTAAGTATTCTCTAGTATGTTTAGATTTTTCTAGTTCTAGGATCAAGGAATCCCTATCCTCTACAAGACTACAAAAGGCATTAATTAAAACATCAGCTAAACACATGAGTTTTTTTTTTGGAGAATAGGATTTCAAATTTCTCTGAACATCCCTAAAGTTTACCTCTTCGTTGCCATTGTCTTCATCATCATCTGGTTGAGCCATCAAAGCAAACGTTGAGTCATATCCAATCTCCTCGCCTTCAACTGCCATCATGGAACTATCGCCAGTATTAAGGTTATCTTGTTTTACTTGTGTAGTTCCCTCATGAGCTATTTGCAAAGCCTCCCATATTTCCTTTGTAGTGTCGCAGGTAGAGATTCTGTCATACTCTTTAGGTCTCAATCCATAAACTAGAATTTTCTTGGCACGAAAATTCTTTTCCATCGCTTTCTTGTTTGCTTCAGTGTATTCTTTGCTGGTTTTTTTCCATTGAAAATGGGAATTCATCTAGTACTTTGATTGGAACATAAGGACCATCGCAAATGGTATCTCATAGTTCGCAGTCCTCAGCCATGATGAAATCGTGCATTCTAGCTTTCCACCACCAATAACATTTTTCATCAAACTTGGGGGGTCGGTATATGGATTGACCTTCTTCAAAATTTAGTGGAGACGTCATGAGGATCCTTCCTAGGTATTAGCCTGATAGGAGGAACCCACTATGATACCAATTTTTAGTTTGTATGGGTCCACCAAATAGTAGAGTATCTGGTCCTCTACAAGATTTTGCTGAGAGTACTTAATAAAGCAGTAAGTAAATAAGGTAGAGGATTTTTTTACGTGGAAAAATCCCACACAAGGGGATAAAAAAACCACGATCTACACCTGTAGTTTTTTAACTTCACTAACTTGTAATCTTACCTATTACAAGCCACTTTATAATAAATCCTATTGCAAAGGATTTACTCAACTAACTTGCGGCACCTTTACCACAAGCCACTTTGTGACTATCCTAGTTACAAAGGCTTTTTCTAACTTGTGATGCTATCACCACAAGCCTCTTTGTAATTCTACGATTACAAAGACTTTTCCTTATAACTAAATCTAGTCACAACATAAACTCAACGAGTTTATGGATTTACAAGAGGATTCCTAATCAGAATGCTTCTAGGTAAGCGGTTTAGGAGATACAGTAAGTACAATAACAAGGTTACAACTCAACTAGGACAACAACAATCTATCTTTTAGGAACTGGTCCATAGAGGCATTCAACCTTGTTCTTCAAGCTTGTGAGGATGATTTCTCTGTTTTTTGCAAGAGGCTTGAATGAGAAACAGAACCCTTCCAGTGATGTCTTTTGTATAAAGCTCATTGGGTACATCTTGATCACATCACTTGAAATGATGTGAGTACTTTGTTTGGTTAGAGAATGAGTGGGCTGACAGTGTAATACAATGCGGCAGAAACAGTGCCATCAATCACTTTACTTCCAGCTGTGTCCAAATGACTTTGTACTGTTATGAGAAAACCACAAGAGCATCAGGTCCTTGTTTTGGTTCCTAGCTCCTGAAGCTGTAGTAGTTTACCTTTAGCTAGAAGCCATTTAAAGTGATGCATCAATCCAAGTAGATCAGGTTCCTTATCTGGTTCTTAACAATAAGTTTGTTAGATCATCAAAACATAAGACAAGAGTATTTAAGATCTATCATACTCATTTCAAATTCCCCTTTCATGATGTTTGAAAAGTCTTTGCATAAAACATGGTTAATACTACCAAAAATAATATCATCTACATAGATTTGTACTATTCAATTACCTTCAGTCGATTATTTCATAAAGAGAGCAGTGTCAATATTACCTATATCAAACACATGTTCGACTAGGAATGAGCTCAACCTTTCATACCAAGCTCTAGGAGCTTGCTTTAGACCGTATAGAGTTTTGGACAATTTGTAGACATGATTTAGAAAATATTCATTTAAAAATCCTAGAGGTTGCTTA